AACAAATATTTTATGTTTAATAGAACAGTAAATTAAATTAGAAAGTTCCGTGTTGGCAACATCTGTTACATTTCTGGATGTCTTTAACAAATATTTTATGTTTAATAGAACAGTAAATTAAATTAGAAAGTTCCGTGTTGGCAACATCTGTTACATTTCTGGATGTCTTTAACAAATATTTTATGTTTAATAGAACAGTAAATTGGATTAGAAAGTTCCGTGTTGGCAGCATCTGTTATATTTCTGGATGTCTTTAACAAATATTGTATGTCTAATAAAACAGTAAATTAAATTAGAAAGTTCCGTGTTGGCAACATCTGTTAACTCGTTTGTACGAATAATACGAGCACGAATGGCACCAGATTGTTAATTTTTCATGCTAGATTTGACTTTTAAGAAGTTGTTGTAACAACACTGGAAAATGAAGGTGGTTTAAAAGTCTCACACCTTCACGTTTCTGAAGCTAGACAATAATCAAGCCCTCTTGATAGGGCTACATCTAATGGCTAGCAAGGAGGATCACATAAAAGAGAGCTATATAACTGAGGTTGGGGGATATTGCATGGTAAGCCTAACGTAAAATCGTTGATATAGCAAAACAAAACTTTTGGAATAGGCATAGCAAAACACGAGGGCCCCCAGTGGTTCAGCGGTAAGTTTGAAGGCTTATTATGTTAAAAACTGGGTTTCGATATCCGTGGTGGGCACAGCACAGATAACCCCTTGTGCAGCTTTGCGCTCAACAGCAAACAAACAAACAAAACATGTGGGGTAAATGCTAGCAAATAATAATAAGTGAGCACTAGAGGACGTCATTTGCAGACAATTTATTTGTGTCCTTTTTGCAATAGAATATACATGTCATTATAAAAGCTGGCCGTCGAAATTCGCAATTAATGCTACAGTGGTTACGATAAGATGTTAACACTTCAAGTACGTATCGTGCTCGTATGGGACAACAACCCCTGATGATGCCACGTTAACAGTGGCGAAACGTTGTTTTTAAATGATACGTGTCGTGCTCGTATGGGACAACAACCCCTGATGATGCCACATTAACAGTGGCGAAACGTTGTTTTTAAATGATACGTGTCGTGCTCGTATGGGACAACAACCCCTGATGATGCCACGTTAGCAGGGGCGAAACGTTGTTTTTAAATGATACGTATCGTGCTCGTATGGAACAACAACTCCTGATGATGACACATTAACATTAACATTTAAATTTTAAATGCCAACAACTCCATTTGGTGCTCACCGGAATTTCTTCATCATAGTTTACTGCTGATGTTATCCTATACGGTTTCGAATTTCGAGTGCAACTTTTTAATCATCCAGTAATATTCATTCTTGTCTTGTCTTACTAGTTGTACTGAAAACAAACTATGCTTATCCTGAGTTTATCTAAGTTTCGTTTGTTTGTTTCAGTACAAAGCCATATTGGGCTATCTGCTATGTTCCCCCGCGAGAAATCGAACTCCAGATTTTAGCCTTGTAAGCCTGTAGACTTACCGCTGTTCCACCGGGGGACATTTATCTAAGATTCCGTGGTTTATAATAATTGATAATTCTGTTTTGTGTTTGTACTTCATTATATTCTCGAACTTTTGAAAACAATTGAAAAAAACACGAGGCAGAAAAGAATAGGTAAAATATTTAAAATACAGAAATATTACAGTTAAATAACATTTGACATAAAATATTTGTTAAACACATCCAGAAATATATACAAAGGAACCGACAAATCAGTCTATCTGAGAAGAGTTTCCTTAATACCAAAGGACCTCAATCAAATTTGCGATTTTTTGTTAAGGTCCAGGTGTATTACATCTTTCAACCAAAGTAGGACCATCATTAAGGTCCTGATGCGTTAAATCTTGCAATATAAGCAGGGATCTATGTTAAGGTCTTAGTGTATTAAATATTTCAATCAAAGTGAGGATCTTTGTTAACGCCCTGGTGTATTAAACCTTTCAGTAAAAGCAGGGCTTTTTGCTAAGGTCCTGCTATATATTAAATCTTTCATTAAAAGCAGGGATTTTTGCTAAGGTCCTGGTATATTAAATCTTTCAGTAAAAGCATGGATTTTTGCTAAGGTCCTGGTATATTAAATCTTGCAATCAAAATGAGGATATTTGTTAAGGTCCTGATGTATTAAATATAAACTTAAATCAATAACTTTTTCAAAGAGGATAGGTGAATATACAAGTTCTGTGATGTGAGTTGGCGATTACGATACGGTGATGAAGTTCTCACTTGTAAAACCAGAAGGAAATACAGATTCATCCTTAAGTATATTTATGTTAGTTGTAGGTAAAGTTGGACATGATACTGAGCCAAAAAGAAATTATAAATACTAGAAACGTTAAGTTTAACTCGGTTGTTTAGCTTATGAATTTTAGAATACTATGAGGTTGCATAAGACTGAGTTTGGAAGTTTCAGAAATACCATAGGTATATGTGCATGTCAGTTTATAATATTTAAAGAAGTGGATAAATGTCAGGCTTATTTAAAACAATAATACTGCTATTACATTCTAAGTAAAATATGGACAGGAACACGTATTGCTGCTTCTAAAGGACTCTTGTCAAAAATCAAGGTTTTTAGTTGAAATGCTAATGCACATCAAAAACTAACAATTCATGGTTAGTGCATAAAATAACTCATTATATAACATTGCTAAAAGTGACTCAGACTTCACAAGAAGTAATTTACAGTCAACAAACTTTCTCAGCAGTTAGAAAAAATAGATAATCGATCAACACATCCTGAAAGCTAATATATTTTACAATACGTAATATATGCTCCTACCAGTAATTTTGCTTTTGATTTTTAATCTATTCAAACTGCAAAAGGTCTAAGAACGTTATTACTTCACGTTTAAATCAAGTTAATATTTAGTTAGTGAATAGGAACTTATATTAGATCATCGATCAGGACTGCTTGTTTCTGAGTTGGAATCAGCTAGAAGAATGTGGGTGTTTCTAAACTAATATACAGTAAAAAATTAGTACAACAAAACAATAATGGAAGGAAAAGATGTTGTTCATAAATCACAAGCATCATCCAGACTTCATTAACAACGCTGAAGACGGGGAAGGCAGCCATTTTTAACAGAATAATAAATAAAATCATACGTTGTCCTTAAATCACAAGCATCATCCAGACTTCATTAACAACGCTGAAGACGGGGAAGGCAGCCATTTTTAATAGAATATTAAATAAAATCATATGTTGTCCTTAAATCACATGCATCGT